GGTTGCATTTGTTTTCGAAACTGAAGACATCGACTAAACAGTTCAGACTAAAGTAAATATTTTTTGTTGTTGATTGCTCATTGTCAGAGTATTCGCTTATTGCTCATCAATCAACTCGTTGAAATGTTGTCGATTCCATCAAAGCAAACGCAAAAATCAATAGAGTATATCAGATTTCATGAATACATTCGAATCAGAAGCTATTCGAAATTCACATTCAGCAGATTTCAATAGAAGTATGAGTGTTGAAGTGACATATGCGATATCGTCAAATGAAGAAAAGTGTTTCATGCACACATATCTGAACACTTTTCTGTTTGCATTAGCTATCGGTTCGCACAAAATTTTGACGTTACTTTAGTTCTCAGTTCCACCACATTCCTTCTCTGAATGAATGAATCGCATATTCTCATCACTTGCGATCAATTTGGATTCTTGGAAAAAATCGTGCGAAGTGAATGATTTGACTCGGAAATCAGTTCGCATTTGTTTGTGTGTGTGTGAATTATTTTGTGTGCGTTCTCAGCAGAATGAACAGAACGTTGCCTCAGTCTCCACTGATTGCATCCGATAATGGGAGTTTATTCGATTTTGAAGCCATCATCCTTAACGCATATGACGGGTGATTGCGAGCGATATTTAAGCGGAATGCATGCATAGATGGATAGAAGAATGGCGTAATTGAGTTTCAGTGGTTACTTCGAGGAATTTGCATGCAATTCATGGCATTTGAACATGAACAATAAAGGAACAAAAGTCCTACATAGGGTTGGGTCAGGGGCGGTGTCGAGATCGGTATGACCTCAGATTGGAAGCCCTGAAGGTAAGAGGTAAGGTCAGGCTCGCCGAGGGTAGCGAGTAGGTTCTGGATCTCCGATACCAAACGAATTGAGCTGAACGTTCGCATACACTCACTCACATCACGTCTAATGATGTAATATTTCGACTTTCAAAAGATTGTGTCGAGATTTCTATTCTTTTCAGGGTCTTGAATGGAATTTCGATCATCGAAAAGGCGATGTGTTTGTACGTTTCATGGACGGTGCTCGTACCAATGTCGCGTACAATTGTTTGGAACGTAACATTGCACGAGGTAAGGATTGATATTCAGACAGGTTGAATGTGTCTCGTTCGATGTTCAGACAAAGAATCTTGATGAAATGGTGATGATTAGTGACTTGAAGTCGACTGCAGAATGAGATTATCCCGAACTGCATAAAGTGAAGAGACCATAACAAAATTGAGTTTTTTTTTTCTCAGGATATGGCTCTCGAATTGCATACTTGTGGGAGGGCAATGAGCCGTCTGATAGCTCATCGATAACCTATCAAGAGCTACTTGATCGTGTTATCACATTTTCGGCCGTTCTTCGATCTCATGGTGTTCGCAAGGTTGGCTTGTTGCTTTGCAAATGCCTTATTGTTGAATCCACAAGTGATATTCCAGTTAATCTGCTTTGCCAGATGCCATTCAATGAGATTTGTTGTATAAGTTCTGATGTGCCTTTAATAGTGAAATACCTCTCTGAATCGCGTAGTGATGAATTTTGATGATGCGACAAACAGAAGACAGAATGGTGTTATGATGAGTGCTTGAAGGGCGATGTGGTTGGAATCTATCTGCCGATGATTGTCGAGTTGCCGATCGCGATGTTGGCGTGTGCCCGCATCGGTGCCGTTCACTCGGTTNTTGAATGTGTCTCGTTCGATGTTCAGACAAAGAATCTTGATGAAATGGTGATGATTAGTGACTTGAAGTCGA